TATTTACCTCGATACCTGGCAGGTAGCATGTGCTGTGTGAATGTTTGCTCAGGGGCGATGCAATTCTGATACCGACTATTCAGAGTTAGCGCAGGCTTCAGAGGTGGAGAGCAGAGTCACCCACAAATCCCTTTATATTTTAGACTGGAGCCGCAGCTCCAGGGTTCCAAAGGCACCCATGGATTTGATAATTCACCAAAAGAACCGTATAGCTCAGGAACATGCTCTGTGTACACTAGTTTATTCTAAAGTTGCACCAGAGTAGCACCCAATTGAAGAGCCACAAGGAGACTTGGAAGAGCCCCAAACATGTAACTCAGGCATCCTCAGAAAAGCATCTTCCTCTTGGCACATGGATGTATGATTGCCAGACGAGAAGTGTACCCGAGCTCCAGTGTTCTGTGATTTTTATTGGGGTGCCTGTACAAAAGGCACAGGTGATCAAATCACGGCCCATGTAATTGAACTCAATCCCCCCTCCCCCCATTCTGTGGCCTCCTCGGAAGTAGAGCAAAGCATGTGACTCAAATGACCTATGAGCCCACCTTCAGTCACCTAGCTAGCATAAATTTAGATGGGTTCTGGGTCCACCATGAATAAAAAAAAGACACTCAAATCATTTGGAAAGTTCCAGAGATTTAGGGGATTACCTTCCAGAAAGGAGGGAGAAACACCAGCCTTTTTTTTTTTTAATTTAAATTTGATGTTTATGGGTGCTTGCTCGTATGGAGGTTTTGTGTATCACATGAATGCTTGGTGCCCAAGGAGGGCAGAAGAGGGTGTCAGATCCCCTGGGACTGGAGTGACAGACAGCTGTGAATCACCATGTGGATGCTGGGAATTGAAACCAAATCCTCTGGAGAAGTAGCCGGTGCTCTTAACTGCTGAGACATCTCTTCAGGCACCTAGCCAAACTCTTTACTGTACAACTTAGTGAATTGAATAGATAGAGGGAACAAATAAAGCATCCCATCCAGAGAGAGAAGATTAACAAGCAAAAGGTAGGGAAATGGCACAGTGGGAAAGTCTCCCTGCCCACCCCCACCCCCCAAACTGGCTTTACTACTTTGAGATCTAGCAAGATCACTCTTTGACCTTGGCTCTTCTGTTGACTACTCAAGAATGTCAACTTGTTTTTCTGTCTCTCTCTTTCTTACACACACACACACACACACACACACACACACACACACACACCACGTACACATTGTTTAAATAGCAGATTTCCCCTCCCCTCACAATACAGGGGCTGGTCTGGCAGTTTCTAACACTGCACACAGATCATGTGACTGCAGTTGGCTGGCTGACGGGATGAAAAAGTCTCTCTCACACCTCTGGGATAAGAAGGGGACTGTTGGTGTGCCTTGGTTATCACCTTGCATCCTCTCTCTACACATGTCTAAACTAATGTGCTTCTATACATGGTGGCTTCACTCCATCAGGACAGCCTGAATGTCCTGGCAAGAAAATGAAAGCAGAAAGCTGCTGGTCTTCTAGGATTCATTTATAAGTACAGTGTGTTCTGCTGGTCAAAGCAAGTCACAAGGCCAGCCCAGACATGAGGCAAAGGGAAACAAATCCATCTCCAGACAGGCGGTGCTGGTAATCCCACTGGTGAGAATAAGACCACTACCAAAAATTTTGAGTCAAATTTGAAGCAAGATTTATTGAATACTCGCCAGGATGATTGACACTGGCCAGGTCCATACCCGAAATTCCCAGAGATGGCAGCAAATTACATTAGTCAGAGGCTTATAAAGGCAAAGCCCACAAGACTATGTACTTCCCACTTTTGTCCACTCAGGGGTAAGCATACTTCCTGTCTATGTACCTCCTGCTGCATGTGATCAAGCATATTCTGTGCAATTGGGACAGTCAAGCTTGCTTACAGAAGCAAAAACATAGGGTTTGTTATCTTACATGAGCAACAGACCCCAGGGTTCCAGGAAGTTATCCGTCCTTGGGCAGGTGGGGCTTCCAGGTTAAAGGCACTTTCATTCTATAGAACTCTTAAGCTCAGTCATTTAAACTTAAAACCTAACTTTGTCCCTCACAGTGCAGTGTGGCATGTTTCTTCAGAGAAGGCAGGAGCTGCTGTGGCCATTCTGACCTTTCATCTCCTCATCTGAAATTGTGGATTCTCATAAGTCAGCCTTCCTTATATTCCACAGCCATAGAGAAAGCATTTTTTAAATGTTATATTGCTTATGCCATTTGTATCACATAATTAAGCCTATAATGACTGCATCTGTACTTAGTATTGGCCTTTTATCCTTGTTGTTATTCCAGAAATAATAGAGTATTGATGAGAAGAACAGGAAGTAGAAACTGGTCCAATAGGGCCGGGATCCCAAAGCAATGCTTCTAAGAATGTCCTTGCTGGAGGGCAGGAATGCTGGAAGAAAGCTCTGGTTCCTGGTTCTTTGCTACCTCTGACCTTTCCTGGAAGCTGTACCTGAGGACCCAAATGAAACTGAGTAGAGACACCTGGATAACTCAGTTGGGCCAACAATACTGACCAGCCCATTCCCATCCCATGCTTCACCCCCATTTCTACTATAAATTCTTCCAAACCCCACCAGACTATCAGCTCAGTGTTACCCTATTTCTTGGGACCCTTCCTGTTATGTAGGAGCTCCCTTCTCCTTCCCTCTCTGCCTTTCCTCCCACTCCCCTTCTTCTTTCTCTGAATGTATAATAAAATTATCTCTGAAACCTTCTGTAGTCTATGAATTTCATTCTTCGTATTTAAGAAAAAAGAACCTGAGGGCAACTGACTCAGTGCAAGTTTTGTGTGACCATGAGCATCTCATGAGATAAAAGCCCACACAAGGACCAAGAAAGTTTCTCCTGTCCTCAAAAACACTTCAAAACTTTCCCTTAACAATGTACCCGCTATTTACAGACCATTTGTGTTGTATAATATTATAAGCAATTTTGAGATGACTTAAAGACTATAAGAAGATATGCCTTAAAGAACCAAAGCACCCCCATTTCAAGCAAGCCCCTCACCCCAGCTTGAAACAGGCCTGAGTTTCAAAATTCTCAGAGCTGCTGACATAGGTCCCAGGACAAAGTCAGGATGTTTGAAGAGCCATCTGGTGTTATTGGTAGCAACTGATTAACCATAGAATGCCCCAATAACGGAGATAGTCTGTAAAATTTGATAAACAACTGGTTAAAACTATAAAGTAAGATAACACAGAAATTCTGAAAAGCCCCTAAAACTTGAGCCAATCAGAATTGTACCCATACTCGCACCCCTAAATGATGTAACCTTATGGTTTTTGCCTTTAAAAACTGAGCTTGCAGAGGGGTGGGCACCTCCTCCAGCCTCTGCTGTGTTGGATGGCTTGCCGAGGTCCCTGCTGCGTGGCTTGAACTGCTTCAATAAACCTTGCTTTTGCATTTCGGTGAGTTTGTGTCTCTGGTAGTCTCTTGGGGGGGGGGGTGTCTTGTGCCCAGGGCACAACATGCCCCAGTTCTGTGCAAATATATCATTTCATACAAGATACCTGAATATCATCCATTTCAGTTCTCCATGGGGACTCTGTAACTGATACTTCCTTGGGTTCTTGATTAGATTAATGACAGACTTAAGAGATATAAGGTGTGTGATGGAGTTTTATATATTTTAAAATGTGGAACAAACAGAAGATATTTTAGTGGTGGTGATAAAGAAAGGTTAAGTAGAAGAATTGAAGCAGAATATATGATGTCCTAAAAGCAGACAGAGGTGCCTGGAGTGATGGTACACACCTGCATTCCCAGTACTCAGGAGACAGAGGCAGCAGAGTCAGGCTTTCAAGAACACCCTTAAATGTACAGCAAGAGCAAGTGCAAGTCTAATCTGAGCTACATGAGACTCTAAAGAGGATTTTGTAATAAAAAATATTTTTGAGGTTTATTTATTATGTGCCAGATATTATAGCGGTTGCTCTGTATCATTTTTATTGTTGTTGCTTGTTTTTTTGAGACAGGGTTTCATGAATTAGAATTCCTGATCCATGTGTTGGGATCACAGGCATACATGGCCTTACTAAGCTTATAAATATTATCTTTAATTATTATAACACCCCAAAAAGATAGATACCTTCATGACAATTAAGCAGAAAAGAAACTTGAAAGTAAGTGGCAGTGCAAGAATTTGAACCCAATTCTGTCTGTTTCCAAAGTGTTAACTATGGTTGCTAGAATTTCTTTTATTACTTATAACACAAAGTTTGCATATTTCAGAGGTGAAATCCAGAATCAATATTTTTTTAAAACAGCCACATTAATGTAAGAAAAGCATTCAACTTTTCTTACACAAAAAGCCTACGATGAGTCTTCACAGGTTTTCAGCAATCCACAGTCTTAAAGGAAAATTTTATTTACAGTGCAGAAAAATACGATTGAATAAATTTCTTGAAGGTGGGGAGAATAATCAGTGCCTTTGAGAGCTATGCCGTCTACATATTATTAAAAAGCTAGGAGATGAACTTTTGTATTCACCCTTGCTTTGGGGTTTATCATTTCTTCTGCTAGTAATCCCTCCTTCACCTAGTCATTCTCCCCACGTTCCTATGACGACAAACACTTGCCTCTTCTGGGAATGCATTCCCCCATCCTGTTGTTTACGTTGCTTCACATTCCTCCTTCCGCACTAATTTAGATCCTTTAGGATGAGCATCAGTAGAGAGGAACAGAGGGAGAGGTACTACTACTACTGTTATTCTTCTGCACTCCACCCCTGCCCCATCTGCAGGCGTAGGAAGAAATAACAAAGATAGCTGTAATTTTCATATTTTTCAGATTAATTTTTGGTATTCTGAAGTATTCTGTATTCAGATTAATTTTCTGTATTCAGATCACCTGCCCTAATCCAGTATGGCAGCATCAGCTACACTCCGAGCGCCTTTCTGGAACCCAAGGACTCCGACGCCCTGTGATGACGTAACTCCCCCCGCCCCCTCCGGCGGGCTACGCCTTCTGTCTCCCAAACAAGCCTCCAGGTTTGCGCCTGCGCAGCGGAGTCCGCGGGGGTGGGCGGAGCTGGCCGGGATGAGTGGCGGAGGGACAGAGACCCCTGTAGCGTGCGAGGCCGCCCAGGGCGGCGGCGGCGGCAAGAAGCGGGACTCGCTGGGGACTCCGGGTGCGGCGCACCTCATTATCAAGGGTACGGAGAGGAGGGCGTGGTCTTCCGAGCTGGGTAGGGGAGCGTGCAGGGGCCCGCTCCTCCCGGTGCTCCCCGGCTCCCGCGCCGCCCTCAGCCGCCTGGCCTGACTGTCTCCGCCCCAAGCCCACTTTAATGCGACCGGCGAAGGGCGCCCAAGTTGGGGATCGGAACTAGTTTGGGCCCCACACAGTCAGGTGGTAGGGTGACTTCGGACCTTCACCCTCTCTCTATCCTCTGCGCCTGGCTCTTGCCAGGGAGAGAGGACAGCACTTGGGAAAACGTCCTGAAACACCGCGCACAGCACCATCCAGTGCATCGATCTGACCTTTGAGCCTTAGAAGGCTTCAATCTAAGTTATTACAGTAACTCAGCTAGGTTTAATTCCTAAAGCTGGAAGTCCCTGTTAACCGCGGAAAGACCTCTAATTGCATTCTCCACTGCTTCTCTTAACTCTGTTAACCCGGTCCTTCTCACCAACTTCAGCTACACCCCTGCGCTGCCCGGGGAATGATTGCCTTATCATTGGTGTGGGTTTCCATTTTAATCTTACTGGATCTGTATGCAGCCCCAGCAGAGCTGGCTGTGACTGTTTCTCATGCTGTCTCTTAATTTGGGGTCAAGTAGTATTGCGTGTGTATTAAGACTTAAGAATTATTTCTGTGTGCAGTCCTAGTGAAGAATTGATTCGTTTTATGACTGTTGTTGACCTACCTACCGTCACTCCATCCACAAATGTTTTTCATCTTGCAAAACTTTGTACGCATTAAACTGTAACTGCTCATACCACATCTCTGACCAAATACAGTCTGTCTGTGAATTTGCTCCCGTGCCTCTGGACTGGGCAGTTCCGCTCTTTCACTATTGGGAACAATGCTGCTGTGATCACGAATGCACAAACATCTTTTTAAGATCTCTTGTTCAGTACTTGGTGATATATCTCCAAAAGGATTTCTGGGTCATATGGTGATTCTTTAAACTTTTTGAGGAAATGACGTTTCTATATTTGTTACATCATTTTCTATTCTCCAGTCCTTACCAGTGCACTTGTTATTTTCTGACTTTGGTAGCAGTCATTCTGATGGGTGAGAGAAGATGCCCCTTGTGGTTGTGATTTGCATTTCCTGTAATGTTTGGTGATAAGTGTACTTACTACCTGTCTTCAGAAAAATGTCTAAGTCCTTTACTGAGTTATAGTTCTTGATATATTCTTGGAAGGCAGCTGTTCTGACCCCTGTACCATCAATGCTGTTCTGTATATATCCTTAGTGCCCTTGAGCAGGAGTTTATAGATATTTTCTCCCGTTTGTCTGGTTGTCTTTCATTCTGTTGATTGTGCCTTTGAGGCAGAAGTTTTAAATTTTGAAGTAGTACTGTATTGGAGATCGACCCAAGTCCTCCCACATGCTAGACAAGAACCATACCACTAGAGGCTACATCACCAACCTCTTTTCCTGTATTCTTATTTTGAGACTGATTCTCACTTCCACATTCAGGACCCAAACACACAGCCTTCCCTTTATTAGGCACTGAGAGAGCTGTACTCCTGTCTGTTTCTTCTCATCCTGTAGCCTCACGGATCGTCCATCAAAACACTTCTCTGTGTCTTTGGGAAGAGATGTTTATCTAACTTTCACATTAGGTTATGAACATGTAGAGATCAAAAGATTATATATCTCTAACATTTTTGTATACCCAACAGTAAAAGAATACATACAGCCTGGCTAGAGTTGGATTTCTACAGAAATATGTATTTTATACATACATGATTAAACTAGAAGAATTTATATTTAATATTTGGAACTCTTACAGACTGAATTATATTGGATTTGTCTTGTTATAATGGCGCTAGGTAGCATTGTAATTACCTAGTAACTGATAATGTGTATTTCGTGATATGTCCCCCCCCCCCATGGTTTTCCACATACATTAGACGTGACCGTTAATTTACTTCTGTGTAGAACCGAATTATCTCTGCAGAGTCCAAGTGAGTCCCTGTTATATCATCAGGCTGCAGAAGCAGATGTCTCCAAACCAGCAAACCTTAACTGCTTCTCAGTTATGTGGAAAGAGACAGTAACTCATGTGTGCTGTGTAAATAGCATGAACAGCTTGCTCTGTGAGATGCTCACTGGGGAAGAGATGATTTGGGGACTCTGTGGTATATGATATGGCTCTGGTGCTTCAGGAACACAGCACGCAGGCTGTCTCTGAAGCCTGGGAGGAAGCTGGTCAGCATGAACAACAGTGTCTGGGAAGAAGGAGGGCTCAGCAGTTGCTAGGAAAATTGGCAGTAGGTGAAGTGAGTGTCTGGGGTATAGGACTCCAGACCGTGGCAATTGTAGGAGCTGCATCAGGATGCCTGAAGCAGCGTGGTGTGTTTAGAAAGCGGCAAGTGGTTTGGAATGGAGAACCTTAGATGGGCTTTTTGGAGCCAAACTATGTATCCTGTTGGCCAGCCGTGCCTCGAAGGCTTGTTTGTATTCTTGAGCTGCAAATAGATACTCTCTTGAGAGTATATTCTCTGCACAAGGTCTATCAGCTCCTACATTCTCTTGATCTCACTCAGGCAGTCATAACTCTTAGTATACAAGAGGCTCCAAGATCCCAATAAAGAACTCTACATGCTCTGTTGCATATTGTGTTTCTCAAACTTACTAACCATAGAACTTTCTTCATTAAATTAAACTCCAAATATCTTCTTACAGAAATGATGCAGGTAATAACCTACTGAGAGATTTAAACAAAAATTGTGATTCTGTTTATATTTTTTTCTACTTAGCATATTAAAAAGATATCCTAGTAAAACTTGTAAAACACAGAATTGGAATCTGATCCACTTAAAAAATAAATATAGGGAAACTATTATCAGCACATGAATATAGAACATACGTATTTTTATTTGGGCATTTAATTTCTCTAGCTATTTTGAGTTGTTGTTAGAAGGATGACTAGATTGACTTACCCAAATAGTTAAAATTCAGAATTTTCCTTTCATAGCTATGGCGTTTTCAGATCTAGTATAAGTTTTAAGTATAAAATACTTAAAACCAACACTCACCACCATCTTTCACAGATAAATCACTAACAGGCCTGCTGGAAAAACTGAGGATATGGCTCAGTGCTAGAGCATTTGCCAAAAATGTGCAAGGCGTCAAGTTCAGTCCCCAGGACTTACAAAGCCCACCATGCACCTTGCTCTACTTAACTTTCCTCACCCTCTTCACTCTGATGTCAGCCTCCATCTTTAATTTGTGTGTCCCAGAGGAAGTATCATTTTGCATATCTTTAAAGTTTATGTAAATGGATTTAGTCCTTCTGAAGCTTGCTTTTATTAAACATTGTATTTGTGAGATTTATCCATGTTAATAGGTGTTGATCTGGTATACACATTTTTACTCCCTGTTCACAATGTGTGACTGTTTAGAGTGTTTTCCTTTTAATTATTCTTTTGGTAGTACACATGCCTCAGTAAACATTTATAGATGTCATGTTCATTTGTATAAGTTTTTTTTTCTTAGGTTATATATCACAGCATGGAACTGCTAAGGATATATGTCTTCAGCTCTATTAGATATTGTTAGATGGCTCTCAAAAGTGGTTCTACCGATTAACACACACTGGAAGTGGATGAGATTCCCTCCTGACCCATGGTCTGAACTGGATTTTAACCAATCTTCACCTGTTCTAGAGAGGGGGAAGAGTAAAATAGGCCAGAGATTACACCAATCAGCGTGAATTAATTCTCCATTCTATTTTATCTTTCTAGATCTTGGAGAAATTCATTCAAGGCTTCTGGATCACAGACCAGTTACCCAAGGGGAAATTCGTTATTTTGTAAAAGAATTTGAAGTAAGTATCTAAAACTTATTTTGGTGAAAAGCATTGCACTAATTGTTAATGACCTGCTACACGGAAAGGTAATTTCTGAGGTTTAAAACCTGACTTTATTTTATATATTTTTATTTTAAGTCTACTTAACATGTATGTAGTAAAAATGAAAAGATAAAAAAAGTACTTGTTAAATGCAAGACCAGACACCAGGAGCTAGGGGGCCATGCTCTGGTATCAACTCTTTAATGTTTGCCAATTGCAGACTTTTTTCATGAAACCAGATAGAGTGAAAAAAAGAGCTCTTAGGGGTTGATGGGTCTGAATTCCCAGATGCATTTGTTGTGTTTTTCCCTTGGTTGGAGCATAAACAGTCAGGGTGGAACATGGGAACTCCGCTTGCCTCTTCCACACTGTTCATGCCCACATCAGTGACCAAGCCTTCCAAATCTGACTTCACCTAGGGATTCCCACTGCTTCTGATTGCTCTGCCTGCTTAGTCATCCAGTCAGATTCAGTTTCACTCTGCCTGCCCGAGTGAGCCAATAATACTTCACTTTTGAAATCCGTTGCCAACTGCAGGATGGAGTTCAGCATTCTTCTGTGACCTGCCCCTACTCCAGCCTCCCACCGGCCATTCTTCACTTTGCATGGGAGAGCGTGCAGTCCTGTTTCTAGTTCTAGTTCTGCACAAGCATCGAGTAGTCATTTCTCAAGCTACTGTTAGATTGTGATCCTGTGTAAGATGAGTTTCTATCTTCAGATGGGGCTTTGACCAAGAAGAGTGTCAAAAAACACAGAATCTCCTAATAAACCCTTCAAAGTGCAGCACGTCTGTGGTGCTCAGCCCTCCAGATAGAGCTGTAGAACCAGACAGACAATTTCCAGTTCGGTAGACTCCAACTCAAAACTGCCTAATACTCCCCAAGGTTTTGAAGTTTGAAGACGTGTGTAGAGGTGTGCACCTTAGGCGCGTCTGTTTGTTGCCTAGTGTGTAAGTTACTTTTCTCATCACTTTGCCCAAATACCTAACAGAAGCAGCAGAGAGAGGAGATGCTTGCTTGGCTCACAGTTTGAGGAGATGCTTCTCAACTGGAGAGGAAGGCAGGAGAGCAGGCGGAACAGGTGGGACTCGTCACATCTGGGAGGAGCAAGCGCAGACAGGACGGGAAGCAGGGCCCGGCTGTAAACCTCCAGGGTTAGCCTCCGTGAAGAACTTCCTCCAGTGACAGTCTACCTTCTGTAGATTCAAAACCGAAAACAGTCCACCAGGCCAGGACTAAGAGTTCACACACATGAGCCCAAAGGAGACATTTCATAGTCGAGCAACAACCCTAGGAAGAGTCAGCAGCTTTCAGCATCCCTGTCTATACGGGATGAGAACAATGTAGGACGCAGAAAACCACCCAGAGGGCGTTCTCTACATGTGATGTAAAAATCAGTACCAATCCCTACAAACGTGCTGTGATTCCTTGATGTTGCATGAATATGTTTAAAAATATCAAATATTCCATATGAAATGAGGATATAGTTATCCTTAAGCCCTGGCTGAACACACTATGTAGACCAGGCTGACCTTGAACTCCCAAGAATCTGCCTGCCTCTGCCTCCTGAGTGCTAGAATTAAAGGCATACACCACCGTGCCTGGCCTTAGTTTGTGATACTGTTTGTTTAATTTCAGATACTTTTCTGAATTCTAAGCATACAAAAAAATAAGTGTTGCAAGTCATCTTGGAGAACAAGTGCTCAAACATTCATTGATACAGCAGTTCTTCACTTTGCTGACAATGGCAAGTTCTACAGTTTGTTTAAAAAGTTTCAAATCCGCTGCACTTCACTAAAAGAAAGATCCAGACACTTCTTATGCCAGTTCACCGTCCCCTTCTCCCCTGTTCCATAACTAATGTCAGCAGAACGCTTGGTCACTGTGTTCAACAGGACATCCTGAAGCTAAAGGGATGCCCCCTGCAGCAGCAGCACACCCAGCCCCAGGACATCCCATGGGCTGCCCTGCCTGCAGGGCTTCAACGGGTTCTTGACCACCCTAAGGAGGGAATGTAGGGACAGGAGATACAAAGGAAAACACACCAAGTCTAGATTCTGATCAAGGTGCCACTTTCTCTTCCAGAAAGGTTTATATAGTTCCACAGGGTGGGGGGAGCAAGAAGCTGTCATCTGCATAAGGTGGGGCAAGCTAACAGGATGTTTGTATAGGATGTTTACAGGGTGAGAGGGTCAAGGGCTCTGACTCAATGTCCTGTTGCTAGGCAACCTGACTGTAAGCTGATCTAGTTCCCTGTCTTATGGGGGTCTGTATTTTTCCACTAACTAGAGATTCTGTCCTTGTCCCTGACAATGGGCTATGGCCCCTCCAGAGGGCATCTGCACCGCAACCTCCATGCCAAGCAAGGAGCGTCAAGAGTTTGCCTAGTGTTTTGTTCTCTTTACAAACTAAGATGTGTACAGCTTGGGATGTCTATCCTATCACCACGTACTGAAAACTACCTTACACAAATACCAGGAACATGTTCAAATGCCTTGTCACACCAGCAGCGAAGTGCAGAGTGAGTGCCTTTTCATTTTAAGAACATTTGGAGGGGCCGGGGAGATGGCTCAGCCGCTAAGAGCACTTCCTGTTCTTGGAGAGGACTTAGTTCCAGTTCCTAGCACCCATGTCAGGCAGCTCACAGCCACCTGTAATTCCAGCTCCTGAGGCTCCAACACCCTCTTCTGGCCTCAGGTACTGTATTTATATGCACAGACACAAACACATAATTTAAAACGAAATATAAAAGGAAAACAAAATGTTTGGAGCTTGGAGCTATGTATAACTTGGATAGTTTTAGGGTGCTCTGGACACTCATAGAATCCACTGACACTGAGAGACTATATGATCATGATCAATTTTGTAATAAAACCTAACAAGGGTATTAGACACACTTCAAATAGGAGGTGCTTCTCTACCCTCTGGCGACAGAGAAATGGTTACTGTGTGTTTGAAAATGCACCTTTCTTCTCCTCTTGATCTTCCTCTTCTACCTTTTTCTGGGCAACTTTAGCAGGACTCTAGCACCATCACATTTCCCTTTAGGCTCATCATAGTCAGCGTCATCCTTCTCATCTGTCTTCGCTTTGTGGCCTTGGTGATGTGCGACTACTCTTCACTGTCCCTTATGTTATTCCACATCTCACTCAGATTTTCTGCCACATGTTCACTGGAGATGCCAGTGCTTGTGGGTTTGACCTTGGGAAGGAATTCGGCGCAGACTAAGGAAAATGCAGCCCATGCTTGTTGTGTGGCATGGGTCCCCTTTCTTCCTTCCTCCTTCAGCTGACCTGCAGTCCTTCATTCCCAGTCCTGGTGAATTTATCTACCTTTGCCATTTCATAACTGTATGTCCTCTTTGTTGGACACTGTCATCCACCTCTTACAGCACTGTTTGGAAAATTCTGCAAAATTGACAGGACCTCTAGGTTTTTCTTCTTGTATTTTTCTCTTCATGTCTGCACAAAGAAAGGTATAAGCCAATATTCTCATTAGCTTTAACTGTCAGCTTGATACAGCCTAGTCACCTGAGAAGGGAGTCTCAATTGGAGGATTGCCCAGATCAAATTGGCCTGTGGCATGTTTATGGGGTATTGTCTTGATTATTTATTAATTGTCTTGATTGTTAACTGGATGGTTCTGGGCTGTACAGAAAACTAGCAGGTGAACAAGCCAGCAAGCAGCATTCTTCTGTGGCAGTGGTTCTCAATCTTCCTAATGCTGTGACCCTTTAATGTAAGCCAAATAAAGCCTTTCCTCTCCTAAGTTGTCTTTGAGGGTGAGCTCTCTCATGGAAACAGTAAAACTTGAGCAGTGGACATTTTGCACTTTGGTTTCTTGGGCTCATCTTCAGCCATCCTGACTAGGGTTTTCTCTGATTTAGTTGTTCTGAAATGTGGAGTTAGAATGGGTTCTGCTTTTTCCTTCACTCCAGCAACTACCTTGTCATCAAGTTCACCTCCAAACCACTTATTAAGCCCTCCCACGTACCGCCCCTTTGCAGCCCTCCATCTGCCCTCCCTGTGGTCAGTAGACTCTACCTGATCTCCCGTGCCCAACCTTATTTCTGCAGACCATTTGTCACGAACTTGCTGGCTCACACCACCCTTGCCACCCTCACTGGATCCCTGCCACACAGCTTCTCTGCCCACTTGCCTAAGTCCATCTCCTTGGCCATACTTGAGAATCCTGGATGGCCACAAACTATTGTACACCCCTGTACCCACGGTACCACAGCCACACCTTCCTCCTTTTTCTTTAACACATCTCAGTTATCTGCCTATCTGTAATTCCATCTTTCCAAAATGTCCCTTCCCTCTGTTTTGTGACTGCCTCACTCTTCTGTTTAGATTACAGGTTGAATTATCACCACAGACCTTTACTGCAAAGCAGCCACTGAAACATGAATCATGTTGCTCTCTGTGGTGCTCTGTGCAGCACCACACTTTCTAATACCATGTAGTAAATTACCACACATTCAGCAGCATCAAACAAGGCCCATTTATTAGAGTTCTGTATGTCAGAAGTCTGCAGTGGGGTGGCCACGACCTAAGCTCAGCTTCTCAGGAAGCCAAACTCAGGGCATTAGCCATGCTGCATTCTCCTCTGTGGCTCAGGGCCCTCTTCTAAACCCACACGGTTGTAGCACTGTTCAGCTCGTCTCTGGCGGCCACTTTCAGCTTCCAGAAGATAGCTGTAGACCTTGTTACATAGCTTCTTCTATCTTCAAAGCTTGAGTCTCCCTCACCTGGAATTCCTCTCATGCTCTAACACTCTCTGGCAAGAAGAGCCCCCTCTCTGCTCAGGACTCACTTTACAAGTCAGGACCTCCAGAAATAACCACTCTGCCTGTCTCCTGCTTGGAGACCTTAACGTATCCATAGTGTTTGGGACTAAAACCTTAATCCTTCACTGTTGTTCTTCCACCGGCACAGTGGCTGCACCTGAATCTGCGGCTGCTTCAGCCAGTAACTG